CCGCACTGGTCGACTTGTTTGTCACCGTCGGTGGTGGCTTTATACTGGTGATGAAGGTGAGAATTCAACTCCCGCCAAGATCGGCGTCCCGAGTGAGTCCATGGTGACTCCGTTCCGACGGAGTCGTATATCAACGTGCTCTAGTGGTCTGAACTCGGTGTGCACTCTTTTTCGTGGCAGTTGGTGGTCCATTTTCATTCACATTGCGTTTGTGTACACAAGTCCCAAACTACTTTTTCTTTGGTCCACTGCGGTCGGTCAATACGAACATTTTATGTCCCTGAGTTCTGTCTACATCACGCGTTCCTGAACCACTATACCGGTAAAATATTACTTGTATGGTTTATGTAGACCTCTTCTTCGTTGTATTGCCCGTCCTCTCACACTGATTACCCATCGGGCCGATGTTTTTTTTTACGTAGGTTGATGTTTGTCCTAAGAACGATCTTACTCGTATCTATCGTCAGAAAAGTCATCACCCTATTAAGATTTCAATAATCACAAGGTGAGATATGAAGAAAAATCACTTAAACATGGCTAAAAACTCACGGGTGAGTGAGAAAAATAGAAAAAGATAAGGAAAACGAAAGGTTAGGAGCTAAACTCTACTGCACCTTTTGTGCGGGGCATATCATTTTCAGTGTCCATTCTCACCGCCCATACATGCATACTTCTGATGCCTCGACTGGTGTCACAGTTAGAGTGAAATCTTCCTCTGTAGTCCGATGGTAAAATATGACGTCTTTATTCCCGTCACCCTCCGTCACTTCGTAACGCATGTGATCGAAGTGGATCTCAAGATCTGCAAATGAAACACCAGCATTATGAGTGCCTCTATAGCGCAATGTTGGCATTAGGGAAACTCAGTTACCGTCATTATCAAGAATGTTCACGTAGGACATATTTCGCAGGACTACTCCATAGCTTTCATTCTTCTATGAACGTGCTTTTGTGGACTGCACTGAACTTAAGAACGACTTGATCGCTGTACTCCAGGGCGATATCATCATTGAGGGTCACCATAGAGAATGTTGTTGGGCCTTCTCCAAGGGTTTTTACTTTCCCAATGTCCACATAGTCACACTTTTCTACATTAGAATTAAACAGCAACACGCTTATGTAAGGAAGTAAAGTGAAAAAGAAAAAGAGAAAAGACAAGGGACTGCTAACACTATACAAGGTCTAACTACTGTAGCAGAGTAATAGGTTAATTTCCACGGATAGAAGACACCAGCGTTTACACCCTCACCTGCAGAGTGGCTCTTTGAAGTGATGTATCCCAAAAGTAGGAGGTCGAGGTTGCTAAAGGTCGATGTTCCCTTCACGTTCTTCTCGAAGGTAATATCTGCTCGGAAATCGCCTTCCGCACGTCGTACATCATCTGAGAGAAGCCGTGACTGCAAGAGGAAATGGACACCCACCATACTTTTACACCCATCCCTACACACACACTGAAAGATGAGCTCATTCCCTAGCCGCGTGTACAGGGGAAAACCTAAAGCCGCGTGAAGCGACTACTGCTGTCCTGAGCAGTTGCCATGCAGTATGTGAGGTGATGCCGCAGTTTGGGTATAGCCACTATGATCTCTCAGGAGCAAGATAAAGCCGACAGCTGTTACCTAGATAGAGATAATTCCGGACAGAGGAATAAAAGGCTTGTAAAAGCAAAGTAGTGGCTGTGGTCTGGGGTTTCAACCAACACTACTCGGGAGTAGGTTTAGGCTGCTGATTCTCCCCAACGCGGTCACGTAGCTATGGTATTGGTAGGCCATGCGTCCAAAGAATGAGTGGGCTGTTCAAGGGTTAGCATCAGAGGGTGCTGTGTGGGGTGTGTGTAGTGTATAGCTGTGTGAGCTCCCAACCCACCCCCAGCATGATAGTCCCTGTGAGGGAATGTACAACTGCTGATGACAGACAGATCTACGATATTGGCTACATGCAATGCAAGGCACTCACCAAAGAGTAGTAATTGCAAGCCATGCAGCAAGCTTTTGTGGTTAATTCACTTGGCTCAAACGAACGTAATACTGTAGTTGAAAGGGTTTACTTTACTAGTTGTGGCTAGTCTGAGCATAACTAGCAATAACTGGTGCATGGACATGCTTCACAACCCACAATTATAGAACATGAAATCCAACCTTACTGTGAAGTAGCAGTGTGGTGATTACACAGAACAAGCTTAGTACAAAATGTGGTTAGTTCTCACGCGATGCAGTCGGCTGTGCAACTGCCTATCCATTGGTTTGTAAGACTGAGACACATCGAGACCCAGTGCAGCACTGTCTCGCTAGTGGCTGATCCTCTCACTGAGAGCAGCTCCCCAGTGCAATCACTAGTGTGACATAACACGCTGCCATACATTCGGGTGAAAGATAGCAGAGGAGAGTGGGAAAGAGCTAATTATGTACTTGTTTTTTCTAGATAGATATCAGACAAAGTTTTACAGTCAGAACTGTGCTGGGTTTTACAAACTACCAGACTACATCGGCGCAGAATTGAAAGCTTTTTGTGGAAGGCAGAGAAGTGCACTAGGGGATGTAGGCTGTACCAAGAGATGTGTGACTGAGAGTGATTTCATATTCTACACCTCGCTCTCGCCGCGTGTATGCATCCACAGTTCGTGCGCCCAGCCGCGTGACCGAGCGCGACATCTTCGCGACACGCGCTACAATAGCGGCGAGGACGTTTCGCGCGCGTTGCAACAGAGCGTCACAAGTCTCATCTTGGAGAGTTTTCCGTATATCGAGCGGGAGTGGTCGGCACAGAATCTACAGAAAACCGTGATGAGGCTCCGGTCAGGGAGCGCGGAAATCTAAACTCAAGCAAAACACGAGCCCTCCCGCTCAATATGCAGTGTGGGTCCGCAGTATGTCTTACATACTAAATATAAGAGAGCTAATACTCGGAATAGACACCAACACTTGCTCTTTTCTGACATAACCGCCGCAACGCTGCGCGCATAACTCACCTCCGCGAGCGAACAGGGAGCTCGCAACGAGAAGAGTCGCTAGTAAGCTGGACTGCAACATCTCTGCCGGCGCTGGCTGACGAGACGGAGGGACAGAGAGACTAGCTTGGTCTGGGCGCGCGCTACCTCTTTTTACTCGCGCCGTCCGCGTTAAGGATCGTGGGCGGATAACGCGCATGCGCGGACGGACTCTACAAAAGGCCGTGCGCGCGCGAGCTCGCGCGATAAGTAAGTATCCATTTGTGGTAATTATAGACCCTGGATTGTGTCCACAAGCCCCTGAAATACCCACACATCATGCGATTATTGTTGCAGCAGACATCTTGCAGCCCAGCCCATCTTACCAATCTCATCACACACAAAGATCTTGAGTTGGCCGCTCAGTCTGATTCCGTCATACAGGGTACCAAGTATCTCCAGAGTAACTATAAACTCTTTCAGTTGTCCGGGTTTTACTGGTGCAGTGAAACTTATATTTGCACAGATTTTCATTAAGCCATTCCCTCCGGTTCCTGGTGTCACATTTATTACTGTGGGGAAAAAACGTTATTAGATAGGGACACATGCATATGTACCTAAATTTTACCATCTCCTTCAGCAGATTTCAGTATAAAATTAACACTGAACTGGAAATCAATAGCGTAGTCCAAATCTGCACACACACTCAGTAGGTTGGTCTCATTCTCTCGGACTATGAGATCCTCATCAGAGTCCAGAGAAACCGTGACCACTGCATGCGGGAGAAGAGTGGAAGAGTAAATGTGACACTCTGAGGTGAACCTGCTCCAATAGACTCCCTAGATAAGGTAACTATAAATTGGCAACACCACCTAAAAATTAGCTGCCCTAGACACCCTGCTCTCAAGGTTGAGCCCTTTCTGAACTAAGCTCAAAGATAAGTTCAGGATCATTATAGCTAGAGCATTTAACTAAAAGACTGCTGCATATCCACTAACTTTCCCGAGTATCTTCAATGGTAATGTTCTGGACTTGTCCCTGGAGTTGGATACGGTCAATCCACGAGTGTTCGCTACGAGCAGTGCGGGTAGCCATCATAAATTCAATCTTGAACCACTCAGTTTTTTCCAGGGATTCACCGTCTATGATCTCCACATCTATACAGCTCATGTTTTGGCAGGACTTAAATGCAATGCGGTCAGTTTCCACCCGAAAGTCTTTCCCATATACTGTGAGGTAGAACATTGTGACAGGTAAGCCTTAGTAGCTAAAATATACTGGCAACTGAGTTCGAACCTGCAGTCCCACTTGTAATTTCAAATGGTATACTGAATTCTGGTTGGACAGGACAACAGCCTGTCATCTCTGCACATATCTTTAGAACACCCTTGTCTTCGGAGACAGTGTTGGTTTCAGGACTTATATTGACATACACAACAGCTGGAGAAAACAAGGTTACAAAACCTGCATGAGCAACCGCTGGACACTATTTGAAAACCCAAGTGTCATACAACATCAAGGCCAAAAACACCTTAGTTTGATAATCAAGCAGCCATTACGTACAAAAACAAGTGGTTGACTATGTACCAAATTAATGATACTCTACAGAAAAGCCGCACATGGATTGTGGTTTATTTGCACCAGCTGAGACCAGCAGAGGACCCTTCCCAGGGGTGTATATACATCACATGCACGATACCAGTACCAGCCTAGTAAAGTACCACACACCAGTTAACTCATCAGTAATGGTGAAATTTTTGATGATTTCCGGAGGTTGAATCCTGGGGTCATCAGTGTGTCTTGTCAGAGTTACGGTCGAATTGCTCGTTGCTCTCAAGAGTGTCGTCTGGTTTTGGTTTTAATTTCCACGCAGTTTTTGTGTGTCACATTTATTAAGTTCACGATGAAGTCTGTGGCGATTTCAAAATCACACTTTCCACACTCTACAAATTGAGGTATAAATCAACATAATGTATATACATACCATAACAGACATAGTGTATAGAGCAAAAACGTTTGTCATATTGTCGGTGGTTTTTCTTACCTGATGGATTCTGCCCACTAGTAGATAAAAAGTATTCGAATGGGAATTCAATGGGGCACTCCAGGTCACTGACAACGCCAGACACAGTGTTACATTACTACTTCCACCACACTCTCTCCATAATATTGAGGGTCAAATTTACCGCTGCAGAAATTCAATAATTCATCACAGTTTTCTTACACATGATTCTCCGCTTACTAGTTGAGTCTATGATAGTGACCTTTGACTTGGCAGGGGAGAGTTTGACTCCATCTGGTTTACCATTTAGACTTAAATTTACGTCGAAATAAGATTCCTTATCCTTCTTCAGGGAATCGTTATTATGGATGGTGATAGCCACACACTCATCTTCACAACTGTCGAGCGTCAGGGACTCAGTGATACCAGAGTAAACGCTATCATCTGCAATGTAAGAAGTAGGCATTGTGTTGGTGCTCGAGTGCAGGGATTGTACATTACCTGTGTTTCCACCAGTGGTTGTCAGTTCCAATGATAGACTCACGTCGTGTTTACAGCTACTCCTGAACCCAACACACACACGGGCTTTACCGACGTCATCGTAGAAAGTATACTCTTCTTGAGTGAAGCCCACTATTATACCTGGAGTGACAAGTTAGTATAATATTATAGATTTAGTTCTGCCAAGTGGAATCTACTCTCTTACTGTCAGTTATAGTAATGTTGGCAGTCCCTTGTTGAATACAGATTCCGTCCTTCCCTTGAACGTCGACGGAAAGGCCAAACATTTCCTCCGGTTCGTCAATGGTATCATTGATAATACTGATGTTTAGCGGTACACGCGTGGAGCAAGCAGGAATAAGTCACTTGTCCTCGATATGTTTGAAATCCTCCCCAGGACTGGAAGTACGTGCACCACAGTGAATTATGGCGTGATAATAATAACAAGCAGCAAACTCACTGGCACTGATTCTGTGAGTTGTAACATCGACTTCAAAGTCGTAGCCAACAGGGCATTTATAGCACGTCTGAATTGTTCAATTTGACAGTCAACCCCAGATTATTAGCATTCCTCTCCCTCTGATGCAGAAATACTCCGTCTGTCAAAGCCAACACCAAAGCCTCTGTAAGTTCAAAACAGTGTGTTAACCACCACCTGCAACACTATTGGTTGATCTTACTATCATTTTCCTGAACTCGCGTTGTAATTTCATTCTTTAGTAGACTGAGCTTGGTAGTGTTGCCTTTGAGAGCAGCATTCAATGTAAAATTCTGCTGTTCAACAGATTTGTCATCAGGTATTGGAATATCCACACATTTGGCTTGGTCCACATTCAGCAAAAACCAACCCTTTATCTGCAGGGTAAAGAAAGAACTGACAGACGAATACGGATTTTGCCAACTCATACTTCAGGGTCTCCGTTGTAGTGGAGCTCTAACGAAACATTAAACGGGAAACCAACTGGGCAATCGAGAATAGGGTCAACTACCACAGCACACACTGTTGTATTTAGTCCCTCTTTCACGTCGTCCACAGTCACACTCACAATACCAACTGCCGGAGATACATAATAGTGAAATTAATAAAACAACTGTCTACTTATGCAACACTCACGATCTCCATCATCCATGACTACAATAGTTCCACTCTTGAGCACAATATTGTTGCGCTGGTCTATATTTTCCAAAATTATCGTTAGTTCTTCGTTGCTCTCCTCCACCTTGTCGTCATCAATATTCAGCTGAAAACTGTACTCTATCTTCACACACACGCTGAAACACCAGAATTTCATTGAACACTGAAACATAAGGGGAAAAACTGCAGTCATAAAGATACATATGTGTGTGCGTAATATGATGCCTAACCGTCAGGGATAGTGAGGTTGAGATTAACATGGAAATCCACTTGACAGTCATCATCGAGCCCTTCGGCAGCAACAATATTAACCTCTACAACACCACGTGATTCATAGCCTTCAATGATCGGAGGAGGACCAATTATAGCAACTGAGTGAGAGAGATAAAGGATAGTTTATATAGAGCAATGACCTAGCGACCCAGAACTTACTGTCATCATCAATAATCGTTACGGCTCTTCTGCTACGATCAATATCGATGCTTTGAATCAGGCCCGGACTGTTTGTTATATACACATCAAAAACTTCGTCCATTTCCACTATATTGTCGTCATTATAGACCAATTCAGCGCACGTTGCAGTTTCACACTTCCTAATCGGTTTCATTATTGAGAGTGCCACAAAATCTTCGGTTGGTCCTGATTCTAAGTAATACAGGAAGTTAACAGTAACATCTCCAGAAATACCGCAACAGTAATATACCTGCTGAGCCAGTCGTTTCAGAAAGGAAGGCAAACGAAGCAGAAAATTCAATTGGACAAACAGCATGTGGTGCCACTATCTTAGCACATATTTGAGCTGGTTCATTGCTGCCTTCTCTTATGGTGAGCGTACTTGCATCAAGATCCATTTCCACCCTCACCACTGGAGAGTAGAAAGGCAGGTAGAAAATGGTACAGCATCATACATAGCTCAGTAACAAAGGCTCCATTAGCCTGGTGATCTATACTACTCACTGTCATTATCCTTAATTCCAACTCGTGCAGATCTTGTCTCTCCAAATAGAACTGAGTAGTCGTCATTTGGTTCTAACGACACTCTGAAGGTCTCCCTAAAGAAACCCAGAATCCAATTCAACCATGTCATCATCATTAAGTAAAATATCCACGCAGGCCTCTGCTGCTGAATTGAACACCATCGTCTGTGTTACAGGGCTGAAATCATTGATATCTAAAGTGAGAGAGTACTGGTCACACCTCGTAAGAACCTGTAGGTACAACAACATGCCTGCAGTTTCAGGATCATCCCAAACAGAAGGACACAACATCGACTGAAACTGTGATGTTGTAGTGCTCGTCGTAGCTGAGGCTAGCACACACGTGAGCTGTGGCTCCTTCAGTGCCATGATTGTGTCCATCATAAGACTCACATTCGCTAAAGAGGAAAGGTATTGTTGGGAAGGAAAAGGATTACTATACACAGCACCCGGATAAATTACCCAGCACAGTCTTTATATAAAGCTTAGTTTAGATGTGGGAGGGAAGAGGGCAAACTTATTTTCCTTCCCGGCAGAGCCGTAAAGTGAAAATTGCAGAGAAAATTGATTTCTTGTTCTCCCACTACCATGTCCCAGTATTATCGTAAAACTTTACATACTGCTCTAAAACTAGGGAAAACACGTCTCCCTCGAAAGCTTCCCGTGCTAAACGGTACTCGTAAAGCTAACATACGTTTTGGTAGGAGAAAGACAGCTCCAGTTTCATTCAGCTGTTCCGCATATTTGTTCCCATCATTCTCGATGGTCAGGCTGAAATTAAAGTACTCTACTTGTTCGACAGTGGTGGAATCGTCAGTAATGTTGATGTAGAAGCAGCTCTTATTTCCACATTTATCAAATTTCATCAGCCCACCCTGGCGGTTGTGAGGTTCACCAAGTGGCGCATAGTCCTCAGTATGAGCTGTACAAAACCAGGGGTTCAATTCAGAGCCTCAGTCAATATATTATCAATCTTACTTGCATTTCCACCGTATGTGTGAACACGGTAATAGAAATCAGCATCTGCCTGGCACTGCTCATTTCCACCATTTTCTACTTTCAGACATATTTCAACGGATTTGTTGGAGTCAAAAATGTAATATTCGCTCTGTTCCAACTTAAGCAGCAGGACTAGATATAAAAGCAGCACAATAATAATAATATAATAATCAAACACTTACTAAAACCACCACACTTACGGTCATCCTCTAGTACTTTAAATTCCCTGACTTCTGTAAAGACTTCGAGTATCCCTATGTCTTCAGAATCCCTGCTAGTATTAGATAAGAGAGACACGTTGAACGATTGGAGATGATATTCATTATCATCTGTAATGTTGAAGACATCTTTGAGATCCACACAGGCTGTTGTATTACACGGATCCAAGATCACATTGCGACAGATTTGATCTCCGCCGTGATCAATGTTATCGCCATTGTCCGTATCATCAGTTGATCCTGGGAAAGAGAGGGGGCACTAAAGTGCACGTGATGTTTACTACTATATTATATGTGGTTGTTAAGTATTGAAAACACGCATGTGCAGCGGTAACAATAAGTGGGTGGTCGGGTCGCCAAAGCTTGCTCTATCGCTACGTTGTGGTTAGGCATTTCAGGACTCTTTGATCTCTGTGTTCCTTCCACCATAAGATGCTGACTTTTGTAATAGTAAGCTAGTAAATGGCTTGCTTTTCATGGCACAAGTTGTCCTTTACTTTTATGAATTAGGCTATTGAGCCCTTTGTCATCATTTATTATCCACAGTTGCCGAAAAGATTGCAACAGGCAGATACACACACATTGACCAATAAACCGTGTCTGTGCAAGTCTCCACACATAACATGGGTCGGTATGAATCACTTACTTGATATCCTGGTAAACCTAATGGTAAATTCAATATCAAACTCTACTGGACAATCATCTTCTTCACTCTCTACGATCACGCACACATTAAATGGACCTTCGTCTTCTTCGTTGAATTCGATATCAGACATGTTGAGACGAATCTCAGCCACTGTAGGAAAGAGGGCTAAATTACAAGGCTACCAGATTCAGAAACCTTACTGTCAGTGCACTCTATTGCCACCTCAGTCACTGTCTCAGTAGAATTCTCTGAGTCAAACACAACTCCTTCTGTGGCAGCCTTTATTTCCAGATCAAAGCTTTGAATCGTGTGTTCGACGGTGCCGTCGTTGATAATGAAGTCGAATAGGCTGATATCATACTGTCCAACTCTGTTTTCTGGGATTACAAAGTCTACTGTGTCCTCGACAAAATCCTGTCCTGGCCTTGCGATATTATCCTGATTGACGCCACTGACGTCCAGACTTCTCCCTGTGAGTTTCAGAATGATGGGCTTCTGGTTTGACAGGTTCTCCTGCCATGTAACCGTGAGATTACGCTCTGTTATGTTGTTCTCCAACACGGTGTATGACTTCTCCACATTAATCAGCAGTAGTTCTGCGTAACACATTAGAAGAGTTGGAAATGATAATTACACACACATTCCTATGCTCAACCCCTTGTAAGTGATGATCATTGAAAACTGTAGTGCAAGCCAAGAGTGTTTTCAGTACAAATACTTTGCCCTTGTAAAATGTTTATTACTGGAAATAATGTCACTTGGCATAGGCACATATTTCAGAGGTTACCCTAGCTTTTGGCTTCACTATTGAGAAATCAAAGTGGGCTAGTTCACCGTGGTTCTTACCGTTTTTGTCAATGATGATGACTTCTGTGGTGTAGCGGATAAACTCCCCCCTTTGTTCCACTGCATCCACATAGTTATTGATACCACTTGTGTGCCTCAGAATGATTTTGTCGCCACCCTCTAAAGCTACGTCGTCATCTCTAGCTGTCACTGAGATGGTCTTTGACTCTTCGCGCCGCAGTAGTGTGACAGAAACTGGGATGAAGTCTGGGAGAAGGGAAGTGGCTTGTGATCAGTTGTAGAGTGAAACCTTCAAATAAAGGACACCTTGGAGACGTTTAAAATGTACTTTATTCAGAGGTGTCCTATATTTGGAGGTACTAGAATGGGACAGAACAAAGTGTCCTTTAGAGATAGCTTTTCAGAGGGTGTATACATTTTCAGAGGTTTCACTGCTTTCGGACTTACCGTCAACGTTTATATCCTCTGTTACAATACTGCCTTCGATTGTGAGGAGTGGAAATGCAGTTACGCTTTTTACGTTTCTTTTGAAAATGACATCAACAGTATCGCCTTCCAACACAGTGTATTGTGTCTTCTCAAATCCGTGGACTGTAAGATGAATTAGCAAACATGCAAACTGCAAATCGACACATTTCTAGCCGTAACACACCAATGCAGGTGAAGTTTTCTCCATAGGTGTAAGAGGAACCTTCCTCTATATCTACACAGCACTCTCTAGCACTGAAGTACCCGAGGAAAGACTCATCAGATCCATGGCACATGGGAAGCTCTGCATGTGACAGAAATGTATCATACAAAATTCAACGAACTTGCACAATCTGTAATTTCACTCATACATCTAGCATGCTAGAAAGCCAATTATCCATCATTAATGCGGCTCTCAATTTGAAATATATAACCCCACATAGCGTCCATAAGAGCAGACCAGCAGGCTAGCAAGCAGGTGTTGCAGACTGGGCATGAGTTGTGCCTCTACATTTAATGGCTCAGCAGACAACCATGTAGATAATGACTGTTTGAGAGTACTATAACTACAACACAGCATTTGGTTAACTTCATCAGCCCATTCCCCAGGTCAGAAGGCAGCTGACCAATGACAGCATTACAGTTCCTACATCTGTCTCAACAATGCACGGGCTATCTAGGTTCATACCAATGCTGATAGAGATTAGGACTATGCAAACAGGGAAGCTATCAGATGGATTGTGGGCTGTACTGTTGCAATACCAATGAACCAAAATATTTCAGGTTGCTGATTAGCTCTTGTAACTCCATTCTTCTGGTCATGTCCATACAATCCAAGCCATTGTGTTCTAACTCCTGATGTCTGGGAGTTTTATTATTTACCTCTGTCCCAACATTAACTTATAAGGCTCAGTCTACAAGAATAAGCTTCCTCGCTCTGTTGCACGCACAGCATCTATCCAGCCAGCTGGTATCACACGTTGCTGTCACGAGAGAGTGTGTTTTTAACAGAAGCTAGGATGGTAACAGGTTATTCTAGCCCATTTCAAATAGGGAAGAGTTTATTGTCCACTTGCAGAGCTTAGCAGAGAATAATATCCCATGGAAGCTATGTTAGTGTATAATAGTAAGTCTATTGTGAGCTCTTCTAACTATGGATTATCTGCCCTCAAGAGCTAATCATAGACAACAGGGAAAGGGGGGGGCTGGGCTACACATGTAAGTCTGACCAAGCCACAGTTTGGAATGTACATTGAGAAAGTAGTTGGTTTATGCAGGCTATATGGTGGGGTCAGAGACGGATTTTTACACCTCAGACTAAAGAGTAGAAACCCTTGCCGTTCTGGCCCTTAGAACATTTCCTAGCCTTTGAACCTTGGGTAAATTGCTCATGTATGCACAAAGTGACAACCAACATCAAGGCTTGACTTAGAGTAACAGTATAGTTACTGGTAATCTGAGGGCTGAGGATTGCCAATGCAGTAAAACTGGGTTAACTAACATCAAAGGCTTGACTTAGAGTAACAATTATTTACTGGTAATTGAGGCTGCAGGATTGCCAATCCAGTAAAACTGGGTTAACTAACTGCCGGCATTGGAACTAACTGCAACCACAGCTTTTTACAGAGCATAGGTCTAGAGCAGGCCTTCTGCAGCGTTGCTGACCTCTACAACATGTTTGCGGGCATGAAGGACAATGGAGCTACGCCAGAGTCAGAAGATGGGGAGAGATCACTCGATGTTTTTCCTCCACATTGTTTTATCACACCCCAGATCTTCAGTGGCTGAGATGGTGCAACTGTCTCATGTGCTGTAACAAACAGTTGTAGTTCCAAAAGAATCTTTGATAAAAAACAGGTTTTTGAGGGAGGGAGGAGGTGTGTGCAGTGGGTTTGGGGAAGAGGGGTCTAAAACTGGCTTCCTATGAACGAGCACTGGCTGCCTTTTCATTTGGAGTATGGGGTCCTGCGTGAATGTCTTTACCAAGGGCTTCCGCCTAGCTAGACACCACAAAAGTGATTCACTTTTATGGTGACGCAACACCGAATAATATCACCTCCAACACTGTGGAGATAATGCATGATTGACAGTCTTAACACATGAAAGGGAAGACTAGTAAAAGGTGGTGGTTTATGTAACATTTTGGAACTGTGGGGCTAGGCCACAAAGTCAGGTCCAGCATCTGTCCACAAACTCAAAAGTGGACACACCGGAAGATTTACTATGAACAGCTACCAACAAGTATGTGCTTAGTATAAACGTGTGTAAACAGGAACATGCAAAGGTTTCTCTGCGTAGTATATAAATATTATGTAGTTTTACGCGCATGCGTATGTCGCAGCCACGCGTCAGTTCGCACCACGTTTCTGCGCAGGTAAAACTTACCCAGACAGTGTGTTGTCTCGTTGTAATCCAAATTTCCCGGAGGGTTTCTGGGGTAGTCTCGATTCATGAGGGTCGTCATGTCGATGCAATCGGCGCAAGAGTTCGGAATTATGCCTCCGGTGCTCACTAAACCATACAGATCACTCTGCCTTGGGGCGAAGCTTTCTTCGTTCCAAATCCCGTCGATACACCTTATATCAACCAATGCGTAGTCGTGCCCCGTTACCACGCAATCCTCCCCGCTGCAGCTGTACTCGATAATTACTGTTGCAGCCCTCTCCGCGTCAGAAGTCAGCTGCTGGTCATTGTCACACAGAGTCTCGTCATTCGCAATCGTTATCTTCCTTGCTTCATTACTAAGTAGGTCTTCCAGGAGCTCTTTTGTGAAATTGGGACAGCTTGACGCTGCGACGCTACTGGCAGGCAATAGCGACGCGAGGATCACTGCCAACGTGTAGTGGAGCTGCCGCATGGTCGAAGAAACACGCGGGAACTGCCGTACTACTACTATCTACTGCGTTGGCGCGCTTCCGCGATCCGATATAAAACGTGTCGCACGGCATTGTGCGCGCACGCGCAGAACATGCGCATACGCATGCGCGCATGAATTGAGAGGCCGTGTAGAGGCCGTGCAGCAGCGCCGCTACACACTTTCCTGTTGCATATCTACCTACCAACCTGCAGATGGCGGATGGTTGGTAGGTATGTGCTTGTAGTTTTCGACCTGGAGATTATAGAAAACCTAGTCCTAATGTTAGCTACTGAGCTACAGCCATCTTCGCATTGTCCTGAGTCATCACAGGCTGGATGGCCTGCTGGCTAGGGCGCTGCTGATGGTATATATTTCCTGCAGTATACGCAAAAAATAATAGCCGCTCGGCTCCCCAACGGGGCAGCTAGCTACCTTCTAATGTCATTAAACCCCCGGGGGGCCCCCGATGGCGGCCCCCGATGGCTGGCCCTGCGCTGCTGGCGCCGCGACGTTTTGCCGCCGATGTCGATCAATGTGCGCATGCGTGACCAGATGAAGTTCCTGCGTCACCACGCAGGTAAAGGATGGTATATGCGAGGGGGCTATGCCAGAGCAATAGCTGCCGTTGACCGTGACGTCTTGTTGTGTTTGTATGAAGTGGGGAACCACCTGGTATATATTCTTGATACTAATAGTTGAAACAGCTGCATGAAAGAACACTGTTTGCCATGTATGCCCAGCTGATAGTTAGTCGGGCATAGTATAAGAGAAGGTGCTAAACTATCATTATAATCAGCATAATTATGTGCACAATGTGGTATGAACCACAATGTGCATCACAGTGACAGCTGGTTGGTGTTTGTAACCAAAATTTCAGAAACAAGTGTTCTGAAATGAAGCTGGGTGTAGAGAAGCACCCACCCATGCTAATTTTGCAGCAAAACCTGTGAATCGCTAACCTTTGGGACTATAGGGGTATTTATACCATTTTGTGGGTACCTACTTCTGTATCCGCCCCTGGTACCTACTTACCAACCAGCCTCTAAAAGATACTAATTACCATTTGCTGGAGCCTGATTTCTAGCTAGAGGGTGCCTTGCTGAGCAAGCATGGTTTATTACAAGCCCTGTGGTCCAAATTTCTCTGCTTTTACTGGAGCATCCCAACTGCATCCACCCAACTCATCACACTATCCACTACATTAATGTTTTATCACTGATAGTCACTCCGAACTTCATAGTGTGCATTTAGTTCAGAACCACAAGTGCTGCACTCATGGTAGCCTTTATAAATTCTTGATGCCAGAGAGAGAAGTTGTGGTATGCTCTGCTGATGAGGGCCAACAAGCCTGAACAGCTGTCCAGAGCTCGCATCTTTTTTCTCTTGGCATCACATGGTCTAATACCTTCATGACCTGCACGCCATTCATCAAACTATTCGCAATGTAGCTAACATCTGCTCACATCCGAAGAAGGAACAAACTCTAAGTAATTTTTAAACTGTCCTGGTTTCATCTGGGATTTGCTGGCCTTAGTAACTATTTGAGTAATGTATCGCAAGTCCTTATAGGGAACACTTTATGCATTATAATGATATAAACAAACCTACTACAAATGCACAGAAAAAACTACGAGTACCAAAAAAGAATCAAGTTTCTTAATAGAATGCTGAAGTACAGCAGCAGTTGGTATCCTAGCATCTGTTCCCATCGAAGTGAGAGAACTTGAAATCAGTGGCGAAAAGAGAGTCGACTTTGTAATCAGTGTAGTCTCCTTCAATGACAGAGTCGTTTGGGTTTGGATCAGACACCTCTGACAGCTCCCCGGCCTGCGTGTTGCCGACGTAGTAACACACCCTCTTCTCAAACTCCCACGTCACACTGTACTTCAGCCCCACAAAGCTCCTGGGATCAGACTGAGGGTGGTCCACGGTGATGACGTAATCGTCACTTCTCTCTGCTCCTCCGAATAGACCATTGTAAGAGCTGACTGTGACCGGCACGTTCCAGAACTGACCTGGAATTGAGCACAAATCAATGAATACACATAACATGGAATAGTGATTGTTACCAACCAATCAGTCCGTGGGATTGTTCGTTCAGGTTGAGTCCACGCATGACCACGAATCGGATGAACCTGATGTCGAAGTAGTCCCAAGTGACTGGGTCCTCCACCTGCCCTGCTCTGCAGAACACCCACATGACCAACATGGTGTCACCACAGTTCGGGACGGAAATGCGCACACGAGACGATGTAGCGTAACGCTTCACCGATATTTCATCGAAATCGGTACCTAAAGATAACCCCCCATTGATTGTAGTGTTGCACCCATCCAAATCAACCTGAATGTTCCAACAGGCGGTGTCTCCCCTAGCCATCACTCCAATCTGAGTGACTACATTCAAATTTATGTTTGGACTGGGAGTAACGGCCTCCTGGTAGTAGGCATTGACTGAGGTGCATTCGTCTGAGATGAGGTTGAAGTAGGAGCCATCTTCACCATGGACCTCGTAGCACAGCGACTCGACTGGGTCACCAAGCTCCACGGTGGGGTTGGTCCAGATCGGAAACAGTCAGCAGAGGATCTCCAGTCAGAGTATCATTCACAAAGACACTAGTTTGGCCTGGATAAAAATGATACCTAATATTTTTAGAAAGCTCGACTCTGTAAAATGAACATGTTACATTGAAATATATACACACAAAAACTCACCACACTCTGGCTCAGAAGTGTCATCAATAGTGACTGTAGCTCGAGGCACAGTCACAGTGATATCAGGAATACCACTGTCCAGGGCAATGTTGGAGAAGAAATTCTCGTTTGGATCATTCTCACATTCATCATCATCATTGATAGTGATTGTGTGGGTCTGAGTGACATCTCCCGCATTGAACTGTATGATCTCACCATCCACTGGTACATAATCATCGTCTGCAACAGCTGCATGAAGAGAGCAAACCTCAATTTGCATGTATTTTGCAGCTAGAAACATACTTGCAGTGCCATCTTGTGTGTTGACAACAAGAGTGAAAGGTCGTGGAGCTCCACCGGGATGACTGAAGACCCTAACTGTGAGAGTCACACTTCCATCACTTTCAGTTGTCATATATGTTGCAGGATCGTAGCCAACCGTGATTGGTGCTAAAGGAAGAGAACACACAATACTTTTACTTTTCTTGCCTACTGTAGTATAAACAATTACTTACCACACTCTGGCTCAGCAGTGTCATCAATAGTAACTGTAGCTTGAGGCACAGTCACAGTGATATCAGGAATACCACTGTCCAGGGCAATGTTGGAGAAGAAATTCTCGTTTGGATCCTTCTCACATTCATCATCATCATTGATAGTGATTGTGTGGGTCTGAGTGACATCTCCCGCATTGAACTGTATGATCTCACCATCCACTGGTACATAATCATCGTCTGCAACAGCTGTATGAAAAGATGCAAACGCTCAATTTGCATGTATTTTGCAGCTAGAAACATACTTGCAGTGCCATCTTGTGTGTTGACAACAAGAGTGAAAGGTCGTGGAGCTCCACCGGGATGACTGAAGACCCTAACTGTGAGAGTCACACTTCCACTAGTTTCAGTTGTCATGTATGTGGCAGGATTGTAGCCAACAGTGATTGGTTCTGGGGAATTACAGCCATAGTTACATCTTGATTCAGTATCAAAATGGTGTACCTACCACACTCTGGCTCGGCAGTGTCGTTGATAATGACCCTTGTTCTATCTCGTGTGATAATGATAGGCATATCCCCACTGCCATACTCCAAGTTGGAGAAGAAGTCTTCAAAAGGTGTCTCGCAATCGTCATCATCAATGATTACGACATCGTGGCATACACGATCATCTCCCACTTGAAACATCAGTGGAACATCAACTACTCCAACATAGTCATCACCAGAGACTAATAAAAATGGGAAAGAGTGAATAATTGTTTCATGTTGCTGAGAAATTGTTTATACCTGCAGATCCATCTTCAGTGGTGGCATTAATAGTGAATGGTCTTGGAGAGCCACCAGGGAAGTTCATAACAACAGCACACAGAGTTTCGACTCCAATTCCCTCAGTAGTGGTGTAGACTGAGAACTCGTAGCCCACCTCAATTGGCACTGGAGGAATGTGACGTAAAATGCAGGTTTTTTTTTCAACAGGTAAAGCAAGGCTTACGGCGGCATTCAGGTTCTGCGTCATCATTGATGGTGACTGTAGCTTGAGGTTGAATGACAAATATTGGTTGTACACCAGAGTCCAGGGCAATATTGGAGAAGAAGAACTCATTTGGGTCGTTTTCACACATCATATCATGGTTGATGATGATTCTGTGTGTCTGAAAGGTGTCCCCAACATTGAACTGCACAATCTCACCGCTTACAGCATTATAGTCATTATCCAGAGCACCTGCAACGATATGTTGCATTATATACATTTGTTTGGATGAAAACAGATAAGCATACTTGCAGTGCCATCCTGTGTGTTGATGACAAGTGTGAAAGGGCGTGGAGCTCCACCAACAGGTGGGTCAAAGATGACAATTGTAAGCTCCACACTTCCCTGTCCTTCACTTGCAACGTATGAGATTGGGTCGTAGCCAACATTTATATTGACTGGAGGATATAATTGAAAAATATTCAATCACAATATTTTATTCATTGAGGAGTACTCACCATCATTATCGATTATCTCAACTCTTCCATTAGTAGGATTAAGCTCAATCCTGGGGTCTAGAGAAGGTGTCCTTGTCAGGGTGTAGGTGAAGAACTCCAGTGGCTCGTCCACCAGGTCATCTGTTATGGTGACATTCACACACTTCCTTGTCTCACAGGTATCAAACATCAGGATAACATCAATTGCTCCATAGTCCATGGTTTCCACTGTGGAAATGACATGACACTGACTGCTATTTGTGCTACATAAAACATGAACAGACTGTACCTGCAGTCCCATCAGCAGTTGAAAGCCCAACTTCAAATGGGAATTCAATAGGACAGGTGATCTCCGGGAATGAAACATAGGCACAGAGCTCAACGTAACCAACACCTTCCGAGACACTGAAAAATGTCATCTCCAGACCCACCACAGCCCCTGCAGAACAAAACCAGCGGTTACAAATTCTCTCCTACAGTATACGGTACTTTGCATGAAACTCACTGTCATTGTCCACAATAAGAATGGATGTTTCATTAAACAATTCCTTTTCCAGAGTAAGAACTGTGGTTTGCGGATTATCCCTCACTTCAAGCATGAGGCCTGCATATTCATTCGCTTCCAAACGTAGGTCGTCATAGATGGTCTGGTTGTAGCAGACTATTCTCATCAGTTGACTAATAAGGACATCGTCAATTGAATTGACGGCAGAAGTCTGCTGTTGAAAGTCGGATCTCTCTGCCATCGGATACCGACTGAGAAAGTCAGGAATATCAGGGGCTGGGGAAGAAAGTGATAATGTTTATAAAAATTGTCTTTTATTTGTGCTGGATGACTCACTTGCACGAGGAACATCACCAACTGGGATGTACATGGAAGGTGGGAAGTCAGTGACAAAGACATTGACAGTTTCATCCAGAATGTCAAATTCAGGTCGAGTGAGATTGACACAGACCAACACGGGACCCGCACTCTCATCAACAGTGTGCATTGTTCTTACAAAAGCAACCTCAAATGGCTCTGCAGAAGTTCCATGATAAAACATAAAACATGTACGAAAAACAAACCAAAATCTCACCATCATCGTCAATGATGCAGATAGTGTGCTCACAGAAGTATTTATCTGCCATATCATCGTCCTCATAGCATCCAAACAGCTCACGGCGACCAGCAACATCGACAGGGAATATGCGTATAGTGTAGCATTCTAGGTCCTCTGGAATCAAGTCATTTCTGATGGCTGTAAGCAGCAATGGTTGAATTGTACGTGATCCTGGGGCCAGATCACGGGCTTCCTGAATGGGATCATCGGGGTTTGCCCTTAGACCAAATGTAGCATCATAAAATGGACTAGATGCTATCAGTGTCTCGACAGTGGCAGTAGTACTGGCTTCCTGGAGACGGAACACCATTGGATGCTCTCTTTCAGCTGTCCTCACACTAGATACATTGATCTCCAGCTGGAACAGATCAACTCCAGGCACTTGACCTTCTGATACTGTTCGAATGCGTTGGGTGAACCCAATGATCATAGCTAGCGGACAGAGAGACAAGCTTATAACAAGACAAGTAACGATTAGAGATGAACATACGATCATTGTCGGTGATTCTAATTTCAGTGGCTCCACGTCGTCCAAAGCACTCTGTTGCTCCAACTTCTGTCTGGAAGCAGCTGATACCATCAGGCACATCCTGTCCTATCTCAGCAACTATTGCAAAACTCTGCTCGTCCTCATCAATATCGTCGTCACTGATATTGAAAAACTGGTCTATTCTGTACGATGGGTTACTGTTGGCTGGAACTGTAATTGTGATTACGTTGTCACTGAAATCGTCATCTGATAGAGAAGATAGACAGTGACATTACTCAACATTTACAGATCTGATACCGCAATAAATACACTTTGTGCATTACAATTACTCTATAGCAGCCATAGCACTACAGCCATTTACCATGACCCTATATAGACGAAGCCAGAAACACACATTCTATTGTGGTTGTGCTGCCTTTCTACTCAGACACCTCCTGCAGTTCTCCAGATATACTTCCTAACCCAGTTATTGTTCTGTGAGTTGTCAACGCAAACGTTTTTTTGCTGCAAATACTGTGTATTCTACTTCAGAGACACGATATACTCCACCACCCATTCCCCTGTAAACTCATCTCAAGGTCAGGTTGCATTTCCTGTATTATGGCCTCTATGTATATAACCACAATCCTAAAACATGTGCCGTTCAATCAATCAAAGCCCCCAGCTCTCAGCCATAAGGCAAAAACCTACGCTGTTGAATTAAAGAGTTATGTGTGGCACATTAACTATACCTGCAGTTGCTCTGGATCCAGGTAGAATGGTTTCGGAATTAATAAAGAAACTCAAGTTCTTGCTCTCCGCAGTATCAATACTGACTGGACTCAACATGAGTGTGAATGGGTTCTGATTTTGTCTCAACTGAATCATGATTGAAGAACTGAGCTCTGCGGATCCCTCCACAATCGAATAGTCAGACTCCAAAAAATTTATCTCCAACACTGACAGAACAAAAATTATAATAATAGAATCGGCAGACATTACACGTGGATATACTTACAGTCATTGTCTATGATGTTCACTGTTGCGGAATCCCTCACATACTCTCCCATGGCAGGTAGGCCGGTAATGAGAGCAGGATTGTCAGGAGCAAACCTCAGTAGGACCCTATCATCGTATTCCAGAGTAATCTCATCATTGGCAGCAAAGAGTCTGATCTCGGCATTGTTTGTGACTGGGATTGGTGTTAGCCGTTCAAAGTCAGAATCAGCTATGGGGAGGCACATGTTTTTGTGGTGAAACAGCTACAAATGTTATCGTTTGTGTAAACAGCTTACCTGCAGTGCCATCTGCTGTGGCGGTGATGACTCCAGCGACAACAAGAGCACCAGCAAACCGTGTCGTTCCCTTCACATTGAGTTGAAACCTAGTGTCCAACCGTTGATCCTCGTCGACATCGTATGCAGCTTGAGCAAACCCATGAACTGAACAAAGGAACAGAGTGGTCAGTGCAATGCAGTTGTTGCAAGCACCTAACTGACATACCTATACAGAGATTGCAGGAGGAGCCATCGTTGTATGAGAGACCTGCGTTAGTTCCAACACAGCAGTCTGCTTGATCTGCTATTGGTAGCCCTGCTTCTGTTACGTCTATTCTATCTCCACCGCAGCCTGGGGCCGTGTAGCACTGGCAGTGGCCTGTAGGGAGAGTGAAGATGTTTGCGACGCAGTCCGCTGAAGAAGCCGTATGTGAGAAATGTTACGCTCGGCGCGGCTAGCTGCAGCTCTTCGCAACAGCCCAACCGCTCGTGCGAGCAACGAGCTGTTACCTCCACGAATGAAAATCAGTCCGAAAACCGCGGTTACCGCGAGAAACTTCTGCAACATGCTTGCTGCGAAAGTTGATTTAACCGTGCAGAATGGCCGGGCAGCAACTTCGCACTGCACTGCACTGCACTGCACTGCCGGTAAAAACTCTTATATTTCCAAATTATCGTAAGGATCAGGAGGCGGATGTATTATAACTAGTGGGAAATAATGAACAATGATAATGATAATGATAATGATAATCATTAACACGAACACAATTATCGCACGGATCCGGATGAGGATGTCGAACCCAATTTCCCTGAGCACTCAGCCGCCGGCGCGGCGTTAACTGCGCAGCGCCTAGGTCCGCCACCCGCGCGCGGATCGCGGGCGGCGGACGCGCGCGCAGCGTGATAATGTAGGGGGTAACTTCGGACACGGGGTAATACACGGACATAACTCGCTATTCAGAAACAAGAGAAAGATTCGGATATGTTTCACTTGATTACTACTTACCAAAGCGCTAACAAATCCTCCTCGCGTTTTTTGCGCAGAATTTCGGGGCCGGTGTTACGCCCCTTGTCCGGAGTTAATAAGTCTTTTATCACCGGTGAACTCTCCCCACTCACCCAAGCCTTTCTCACAGTGATACTGCCCACTGAGTAGTAAAAAATCACCGAAAACACTGCCCTACACTACTGTTTTACCTCATGTTATTTTTGTGCTGCTGTGTTCCTATGGAAACCTTTTGTATGGTTTATTTTATATATCACAGATTATTTTGATACCTTTTACACCGCCTGTGTCTGTACCGTCTCTGCCTGTTGTAGTCATTTCACTGCCATCGTGCATCAGCTCACGTGTTTTTGCAAGTCCAAAGTAAGCCCTTATGGTTATGTGTGTGTTAATTGTAGCCCTTCTGAAGTCCTGTTTTCTTTCTCTTCTTCTTTCTTTCTTTCTACATATGTATATAGCTAGCGTGAGCTGTTCAGTTTTCAGAAACGACACTTTATGCATTACACTGATATAAACAAACCTACTACAAATGCACAGAAAAAAACTACGAGTACCAAAAAAGAATCAAGTTTCTTAATAGAATGCTGAAGTACAGCAGCAGTTGGTATCCTAGCATCTGCTCCCATCGAAGTGAGAGAACTTGAAATCAGTGGCGAAAAGAGAGTCGACTTTGTAATCAGTGTAGTCTCCTTCGATGACAGAGTCGTTTGGATCAGACACCTCTGCCAGCTTCCCGGCCTGCGTGTTGCCGACGTAGTAACACACCCTCTTCTCAAACTCCCACGTCACACTGTACTTCAGCCCCACGAAGCTCCTGGGATCAGATTGAGGGTGGTCCACGGTGATGATGTAATCGTCGGTTCTGTCCTCTCCTCCAATAGACCCAGTGTAAGAGCTGACTGTGACCGGCACATTCCAGAACTGACCTGGAATTGAGCACAGAATCAGTGAATACACATAACATGGAATAGTGATTGTTACCAACCAATCAGTCCGTGGGATTGCTCGTTCAGGTTGAGTCCACGCATGACCACGAATCGGATGAAACTAACGTCAAAGTAGTCCCAAGTGACTGGATCCTCCACCTGCCCTGATCTGCAGAACACCCACATGACCAACATGGTGTCGGCACAGTTTGGGACCGAAATGCGCACTCGAGACGAAGAAGCGTAAGGCTTCACTGATATTCCGTCGAAACTATTGCCTAACAGTGGACCTCCATTGACCGTGGCACTGCAATGTCCAAGTTGACCTGTATGTCCCAACAGCTATGTTCCCCTAGCCCTCACTCCAATCTGAGTAACTACATTCAAATTTATGTTTGGACTGGGGGTAACGGCCTCCTGGTAGTATGCATTGACTGAGGTGCATTCGTCAGAGATGAGGTTGAAGTATGAGCCGTCTTCACCGTGGACCTCGTAACACAGAGACTCAATGTGTCACCAGGCTCCATGTCGGAGTTGGTCCAGATCGGAACAGTCAACATAGGATCTCCAGTCAGAGTATCATTCACAAAGACAGTTTGGCCTGACTAATAATGATATAATATTTTAGAAAGCTCGACTCTGTAAAATGACATGTTACGTTGAAATATACACACACAAAAACTTACCACACTCTGGCTCAGCAGTGTCATCAATAGTGACTGTAGCTCGAGGCACAGTCACAGTGATACCAGGAATACCACTGTTCAGGGCAATGTTGGAGAAGAAATTCTCATTTGGATCCTTTTCACACTCATTATCATCATTGATGATAATTCTATGTGTCTGAGTTACATCTCCCGCATTGAACTGTATGATCTCACAAGCCACAGGTACATAATCACTGCCAGCAACAGCTGCATGAATTAAAGACACACAAATGCTAATTTTCAGGTGTTTTGCAGCTGTAAACATACTTGCAGTGCCATCTTGTGTATTCACAACAAGAGTGAAAGGTCGTGGAGCTCCACCGGGATGACTGAAGATCCTAACTGTAAGAGTTACACTTCCATCACTTTCAGTGTATGTGGCAGGATCATAACCAACAGCGATTGGCGCTAAAGACGAGAACTTTATTTTTCTCCTCTACTGCTTTACACCGTTGCTTACCACACTCTGGCTCAGTAGTGCCACTAATGGTTTCTGTAGCTTGAGGCACAGTCACAGTGAGAACAAGAGTCAAGGGTCGTGGAGCTCCAAAGATCCTAACTGTAAGAGTTACACTTCCATCACTTTCAGTTGTCGTGTATGTGACAGGATCATAGCCAACAGCAATTGGTGCTAAAGAAGAGAACGCGCATTGATTCATTTTTCTCCTCTACTGCTTTGCACCATTGCTTACCACACTCTGGCTCAGCAGTGCCATTAATGGTGACTGTAGCTCGAGGCACAGTCACAGTGATATCAGGAATACCACTGTTCAGGGAAATGTTGGAGAAGAAATTCTCATTTGGATCCTTCTCACACTCATTATCATCATTGATGATAATTGTATGTGTCTGAGTTACATCTCCCGCATTGAACTGTATGATCTCACCAGCCACTGGTACATGGTCAGCATCTGCAACAGCTGCGTATAATACAAAGAGGAATATTTTCAATTTTGAGTAGACTTGTGTCACATTACTTGCAGTGCCATCTTGTGTATTCACAACAACAGTGAAAGGTCGTGGAGCTCCACCGGGATGACTGAAGATCCTAACTGTAAGAGTCACACTTCCGTCACTTTCAGTTGTTACATATGCATCAGGATCGTAACCAACAGTGATTGGCTCTGATAGAAGGGACAATCACTATTTACTACACCTTTTGGAAGCTCTCAGCTTACCACATTCTGGCTCGGCAGTGTCATTGATAATTACCCGTGTTCTCATTCGTGTGATAATGATAGGCATATCCCCACTGTAATACTCCAAGTTGGAGAAGAAATCCTTCAAAAGGTGTCTCGCAATCGTCATCATCAATGATTTCGACATCGTGGCATACACGATTTTCTCCCACTTGAAACATCAGTGGAACATCAACTACCCCAACATAGTCAGCTCCAGAGACTAATAAAAATTGGGAAGGAATAAAATACTTTTTTCATGTTGTACACAAATGGATCATACCTCCAGATCCATCTTCAGTGGCGAGATTAATAGTGAATGGTCTTGGCGAGCCACCAGGGAAGTTCATAACAACAGCACACAGAGTTACAACTCCAGTTCCCTCAGTAGTGGTGTAGACTGAGAACTCGTAGCCAACCTCAATTGGCACTGAAGGAATGTGACGTAAAATGCAGGGTTTTTCAACAGGTAAAGCAAGGCTTACGGCATTCAGGTTCTGCGTCATCATTGATGGTGACTGTAGCTTGAGGTTGAATGACAAATATTGGTTGTACACCAGAGTCCAGGGCAATATTGGAGAAGAAGAACTCATTTGGGTCGTTTTCACACATCATATCATCGTTGATGATGATTGTGTGGGTCTGAGAGGTGTCCCCAACATTGAACTGCACGATCTCACCGCTTACAGCACTATAGTCATTATCTGGAGCTCCTGCAACTATATGTTGCATTATATACATTTGTTTGGATGAAAACAGATATGCATACTTGCAGTGCCATCTTGTGTGTTGATGACAAGTGTGAACGGGCGTGGAGCTCCACCAACAGGTGGGTCAAAGATGACAATTGTAAGCTCCACACTTCCCTGTCCTTCCATTGCAACGTATGAGATTGGGTTGTAGCCAACAGTTATATTGACTACAGGATATAATTGAAAAATATTCAATCACAATTTTTTATTCATTGAGGAGTACTCACCATCATTATCGATTATCTCAACTGTTCCATCCGTAGGATAAAGCTCAATCCTGGGGTCTAGAGAAGGTGTCCTCGTCAGGGTGTAGGTGAAGAACTCCAGTGGCTCGTCCACCAGGTCATCTGTTATGGTAACTTTCACACACTTCCTCGTCTCACAGACATCGAACATCAGAATCTCGTCAATTGCTCCATAGTCCATGGTTTCCTCTGAAATACATGGTAATGCCATCTTGTGTGGATGGATTTGCTATAAAAGCATGCAAAAGCTCTACCTGCAGTCCCATCAGCAGTCAAAAGCCCAACTTCGAATGGGAAATCAATAGGACAGGTGATCTCTGGGAATGAAACACTGGCACAGAACTCAACGTAACCCACGGCCTCCATGACACTGAAAAATGTCATCTCCAGCCCCACCACAGCCCCTGCAGAACAAAAACCAGTGATTACAAATTCTCTCCAACGATAATTGCATAAAACTTACTGTCATTGTCCACAATAAGAATGGAGGCCTGATCAAAAAATTCCTTTACTAAAGTAACTGTGGTTTGCGGATTATCCTCAACTCCAAGCGTAAGGCCTGCATATTCATTCGCCTCCAAACGTAGGTCGTCGTAGATGGTCTGGTTGTAGCAGACTATTCTCATCGGTTCACTAATAAGGATATCGTCAATTAAATTGACGGCAACAGTCTGCTGTTGAAAGTCAGATCTCTCTGCCATTGGATACCGACTGAGAAAGTCAGGAATATCAGGGGCTGGGGAAGAAAGTTATAATGTTTGTAAAATTGTCTTTTATATGTGCTGGTTGACTCACTTGCAAAAGGGACGTCACCAACTGGAATGTACATGGAAGTCAGGAAGTCAATGACAAACACATTGACAGTTTCATCGAGAATGTCAATTTCAGGTCGAGTGAGATTGACACAGACCAACACGGGACCCGCACTCTCATCAACAGTGTACATTGTTCTTACAAAAGCAACCTCAAATGGCTCTGCAGAAATTCCATAATAAAAGGTACGAAAAACAAACCAAAATCTCACCATCGTCATCCACGATACAGATTGTGTGCTTACAGAAGTAGTTGTTTGCCATTGCAGCATCCTCATTGCATTCAAACAGCTCGCGGCGACCAGGAACATCGACAGGGAATATGCGTATAGTGTAGCATTCTAGGTCCTCTGGAATAAAGTCATTTCTGATGGCTGTAAGCAATGGTACAACTGTAAGTGTTCCCGGGACCAGATCACGGGCTTCCTCAATGGGATCATCAGGGTTTGCCCTTAGTCCAAATGTAGCATCAAAAACGGGACTAGCTGGTATCAGTGTCTCGACAGTAGCATTAGTACTGGCTTCCTGGAGACGGAACACCATTGGATGCTCTCTTTCAGCAGTCCTCATGCTTATAACATTGATCTCCAGCTGGAACAGATCCACTCCAGGCACTTGACCTTCTGATACTGTTCGAATGCGTTCGGTGAACCCAATGATCATAGCTAGCAGACAGAGAGAGAAGCTTATTACAAGACAATTGACAATTAGAGATGAACATACGATCATTGTCGGTGATTCTAATTTCAGTGGCTCCACATCGTCCAAAGCACTCTGTTGATCCAATTCCAAGTTGGAAGCAGCTGATACCATCAGGCACGTCCTGTCCTATCTCAGCAACTATTGCAAAACTCTGCTCATCCTCATCAATATTGTCATCATTGATAATGAAAAACTGCGTAATTTCGTATGATGGGTTACTGTTGGCTGGAACTGTAATTGTGGTTATGTTGTCACTGAAATTGGCAACTGATAGAGAAGACAGAGAGTGACATTACTCAACATTACCGCAATAAATACATGTTGTGCATCTATAGCAACCATAGCACTACAGCCATTGACCACTTACTCAGAACACTAGATGAAGCCATAAACACACATACTATTAGTGGTTGTGCTGCCTTACCATTTGGACACCCCCTGCAGTTCTCTAGATGCTAGTTATTACCCTCGGCGTGCATGCGCAGCGTGGGTACTACTGTAGTTGGGTGTGTGTGTGTACGTGTGTGTGTGTGTGTGTCTGTTTGTCTGTTACTCTACATCTCACCTATCGAACGTCTGTTCGTCCCAGAAACGATACCATCTACCCAACGGGCGACGAAGGTCAGAAATTATTATGTGGGGTTTTCTCTGAAAATGCTCCGTTGCAGAGCTAGAGCGCTTCCACCATTGTACGGCTAATACGTAGTCGGCCATTTTTATCGCTGCGGAAAACGCGCATGCGCTTATATTTTCAACAGGCTTTAATTAACCTCGACCGGGTCCGCTTGCTCTGTGTATCTTGAAGGCACAAGAAGTCACAACGAAGGGCGTGTATCGACTCTCGCATACTATCTACTACTGTAGCTAGCCCGTGTCAGACTCTCTGCGAGCTACTAGCGGGAGACCACGAGTAAACGCATACTAATAGCAGCCCAGCCCATCAATTAGCGGTAACGCGCATCCCCAGTTCGCCGAGGGTTTGCACTTTAGTGCTTTTCATTGTTCTGTGAGTAACCTTTCACTGCAATGCTGTCAGCACAAACGGTATTTATACAGCTACTCCCCACCCAATTCCCCTGTAACATTGACTAAGGGATCTCAAAGTCAGGCTGCATTTCTTGTATAATATCACCTCTATGTATGTAACAAATAGCCCACAAACATTTGCTGCTCAATCAAAGCCCCCAGCTCACAGCCATAAGCCAAACATACGACATACACCATTCAGTTACTGTTATGTGTTACACATTCACTGACCTGTTGTTGCTCTGGACCTGGGTAGAATTGTTTCTGAATTAATGAAGGAACCCAAGCCCTTGCTCTCCGCAGCATCAATAGTGACTGGACTCAACATGAGTGTGAATGGGTTCTGATTTTGTCTCAACTGAATCATGATCGGAGAACTGAGCTCTGCGGATCCCTCCACAATTGAATAGTCAGACTCCAAAAAATTGATCTCCAACACTGAAGGGGCAAAAAAACATGCAGACTTGGCAGACGTCACACGCGGATAAACTTACAATCATTGTCTACGATGTTCACTGTTGCGGAATCCCTCACATACTCTTCAAGGGAAGGTAGGTCGGTAATGAGAGCAGGATTGTCGGGAGCAAACGTCAGTAGGACCCTATCAGCAAAGAGTCTGATCACGGCATTGTTTGTGACTTGAATTGGTGTTAGCCGTTCAAAGTCAGAATCAACTATGGGGAGACAATGTTTGTGTGGTGAAGACGCTACAAACCTTATCGTTTGGGTGTACAGCTTACCTGCAGTGCCATCTGCTGTGGCGGTGATGAGTCCAGTGACAAGAAGAGCACCACCAAACTGTGTCATTCCCTTCACATTCAGTTGAAACATTGTGTCCAACCGTTGATCCTCCACCACATCATATGCAGCTTGAGCAAACCCATGAACTGAACAAAGGAACAGTGCAGTCAGTCAATGCAGTTGTTGCAAATACCTAACTGACATACCTATACAGAGATTGCAGGAGGAGGCATCGTTGTATGAGAGACCTGCATTAGAGGCAGGTTATGAAAAATCATGAAGAGAGAGAGCAAGAGCATAGCAAGTGTACAACAATGGTTTATGGAGGTATTTGCATATCTACGCCTTCAGCTTAAAAAATATTTCACTTCAGCTGGCATAAGCTACATAGATACGCGAGAACATTGCACTGAAAGTTTTACCTCCTTGCATGAGGAGAAGTTCCACGGCTGCAGCTACCACAAGAAGTTTCTGCAACATTTCTCTGCGAAAGTTGCGTTACAGGGCAACAACTCTGGCGTGCAATGCCGACAAAAGCTCTTTTATTGCAGCACACACAAGAGTATCACACAACCAGGAAGGTATGGAGGCCGAGAGAGATAATTAGCATTGCATGCTTCCTATTCTTGTGTAGCCGCCTTCTACAAGAAAAGCTAAATGCTATCACTTCATGCAAAGAGAGCAGTTCATATTAGTGCACTCAATTGTACATCAGAGAGTGGGATCTTCCTTATTTTGTAGCCCACTACAATATAAGTGTCTTGCAGCTGCATTCATAGCTGATGAGGCAGCTTTTATATACCACGTAACAATGGTCTCCTGCTTAGGTCTGCAATATCCAACCAACTGGTGACTATTGTGGTTACAACCACCTCATAGTGCACTCATTGGCGAGTTGCTCTTTAAGAGAAACACGCTCTTACTGATCAAGCACCAGCACTTTCGATGTACTATACCACTGTTATCATCGGAGAACTGAAGTGCACAAGCTAGCTGGCTACCCTACTGAAAAGAGTAGCACAAAGTGAACAAGTATAATAAGCAGCATGCCACTGCCTGATATCTTGTTTAATGCCTGTTAAAAAAAGACTAGCTGTAAGTGGCACACGCAATACTGTTTTACCATCCATATTGCCATATTTTACTGGCTGGAATCTATGAATAACTCCTCCTTGTATCACACGAGCCTCTCTCTCTTTCTCTCTCTCCCTCACCATTAACTTGATGCTGCATATATAATGTACAATGCCGTTGTGTGGGAGACCACATACTTTTCTAGATACAAACTTGCATGTATATACACTTTGATACTGGCTACCTATATTTATTTGAGTCCCACACAATACATAGCAAGCAAACTATAACTAGCTGTTATTAGTATGTGTCCGCAACTCAGCAGCCGCCGAGCCTGCAGACCTCCTCTCCAAGGTTCCTCAGAGCACAGGCATTGAGAGTCTGAGTAATCCTGTCCCCTAGTTGTGGGTCATTTGTGGTACCAGTCTCACACTCTTCTTCATCGAGACTGGAGATAGAGGTGGGGCAAGAGGGACTCACCCTCACCAGCAGACCGTCTAGAACGAGGGACGGACTCGTGGACACCCAACTCTGAATAATGTCCACCAGGTGGGTGGAGTTTGTGGTGGGGAAAGGGTTAACGAGGGTGGAGCGGTAGGTTGTCTTGGTGGGGTTACTGTGACAGAGAAACAGTCCTGGTCTCAGGAATGACGGGGTTAATTTGTAGCAGTCACTGCAAGCTTCACGAATTATCTGAATCAAGTAAGCCTGGAGCTGTTTCTCAATAACACGAGCAATTTTCTTCAACTGCAAAAATATAACATTGTGCATTAGTGACGAAACAAAAGATACAGCTTACTCCCCAGTCCAGACAGTGTTGAAAAGGTCCAAACTGAATTTGAAAAGATGTTTTATCTGTGAAACACAAGAGTTCAAATGTGAAATGTGTGTGGTGAGGTGCGTGGTTGCATACCAAAAGCGAAGGGTACATTGGTTGGAGGTCCTTGGACGAGTGTGACATCATTTCCTATGATGTAATACAGAGTGAAGTTATGCACATAATATGCATTGGTAAGGGTTATGTCATCGTCCAAGACCACGACATCGGAGGTGGTTCCAGGTGGGTAGACCCTGTCGTATTGGCTAATGATGACGCCATTGGTGGAGAGGAGACGGTGTAGTGGATGGAGGTGGGGAGGTGGACACTGCCACTCCAGGAGATCCTCACTCCTGTGGCATTCACTGGGAGGAAACTGACCTCAGCTGGCCTCTCTATATATGGGGATGACAATATAATTCATCACACCTGGTGAGGAAAGCTATCCGTGCAAGTGCCTACAGAAGACGTAGAAATTTTTCCCCTTCAGACACTCACAATATTATCTATATCGCATAAAAAGTTTGTTGTGGCAGAAAACACAGAACACATGAGAATATGAAGACAATGACAGAAAAGCTAAAGGGGAAATTAAAGAGAGCGACGGAAAAAAGTAAAGACAGCAAAAAGAAGACCAAAGGTAGGTATTTCTCACCATCATCATCAGTAATAACCACCACTCCAGTGGCGGAGGTGATGGAGATGTGAGATCTGGTGGACCGTGTGAGACTGAGAGAGAAGGTCTCCTCCGGTTCACTGACCAGGTCATTGGCCAGACTCACATTCACACAACGCTGGCTCTCACAGGCAGCAAACGTCAGCACTTGGTCCACTGCCACATAGTCTGCTGGACTCTCTGTATAGAACAAACTTTGGATGATCTGGTAGCCAGTATGCATGCAAGTGGAAAAGTCATTGGAAGGGGTATAAGGGATAGCTCGAAGCACCAAACAGGAAGAGACAAGGGGTCATTACACAGCAAAGACCACAAAGCTATATGACACCATCCCTATATCTTTGTCTAGTCATTATCAATGGGTGGTTCTCATAGGGTCTTCAATGTATTCGTAGTTACCTGCAGTTTGATCGCTAGTGGAAAGGGTGACATGGAAAGACTCGGTGCTGGGACACGAAGAAGTGGTACCAACTGCATTGATGCACACCTCAACCACTTCATCTGACTCTCCTATAGTGTAGGATGTCTCTGCCAGCCCCACTACTATAGGGGAAAGAGTATGACAGTTAGCATCCCTCAATGTAGACTCTAACTCTTTACGTAATCAATGGCCGATAATAGTGTATACAAGTGGAGATTTGTCAGACTGAGTCAGAGTCGGGAGAGAGATGAGTTATGCAGATGGTGGTAGTCATGCTCAAGGATGGTGTACCACATAAGACAGGGAAACCCATCAGAGACAGAACCAAATACTACTGTTTGTTACTGGATACATTGTTGTGGACATTATGATAGTTGCCTAGGTTCTGATAATTCTACTAGAACACTGCTATCACTGAAATTCTTTGCTACACCTATTTGACATACAAATGATCATGCATGGGAAATAATACTACTGCACTTCAATGGATACATTCTTGTGCACATAGTCAGTTATGATAGTTGCCTAGGTTCTGATCAGCTATCACTGAAAATCGTTCAGTATGCTACACTTACAGGACATTGTACAGGTGACCTACTTGCTTGCAGAGTTAGTACGGTTAAAGGGTCAGAATACAGTCCAACATCTCCATTCTCATTCACAGCTGCTACTGATATGGAGTAGTTGGTTAGGGAAGTCAGTCCAGTCAGTGTAACTCGTCCTCCACTCATCCAGTCTTCACCATCTCCTAGCACTTGGTCTACGGTCTCAGCTCTGCCGTTGGCAGTGAACTGAACTCTGTACTGAGTGATTGGACCATTGACCAGTCTACAGTTGGAGAGGCCACTCCACTGGACAGAGATCTCAGTGGGGCTCTCAGCCTCTGCTCTCACATCCCCCGGAGCCTCTCCTGCACCTGTACATACACACACACACAACACCATACACACAGACTGTGAGACTATTTAGTGGGTCTTACTTGTCTGTGGTGTTAGAACTCTCCTGGTCTCCCTGGGTCGACTGGTACCTCTAACATCACTGACTGCATTCACAGTCACCTCATATGTGGTGTAGGCTCTCAACATATCAGTCACTGTTGACCCCACATCTCCTCCTACAGCAATACTGACAGTAGTGGAGGGAGCACTGACTGTCAGAGTGGCAGTATGAGAGTTGGTAGGGTTGCACAGCCCCTGCTGGTAATATCCCCGAACTTGAGAAAATGTGACAGTGTATCTGTCAGCATCTTCTACTGCATCCCAGGACACTCTGACACTGGCTGATTCTGCAGTAACTACTACCCTTTCGGGAGTATCTGGAGCTGTGGTTAAAGTGTAATGGGGGAGTAAAGTAGTAAGTAAGGAATGGTAAGTGAGTATGTGTGTGGGTGTTTGATATGGGGCAAGGTAGCTATTATCTTCACATGGGTGTGAGTGATTCTGTTGTGTTATGGGAGTGGGGGGAGAAGAAAGTGCATACCAAGGGTAATAATCTCTTCAGCGACTGCAGGAATGACATCAGGTAAGCTGGAAACAACTTCTACTGAGATGATGTAGGTTTCTCTGTTAGTGAGACCAGTTATTTCAGTACTAGTTGTGTCTGCTGCAACAGTCTTAGTCCCATTTCCACCAGTTCCCCCAGCTAGGAGATAGTGTACTCTGTACGACACTGGGAGTTCTGGTGTTGGAGACCAGGTCACTCTAACAGTAGTGAGAGCTGTTTGCTCCAGTGAGGTTATGGGTCGAGCACCAGCTGCAGTAGAATAACACAATATTATTGTATGATGACTGAGAGTAAGATCAAAGGAATTCCAGCTAGTCCAAACAACGTAGATGCGTAGTGAGCGCTTCCTGCTGAGTGTACGGCTGCCAAAACATAGAAAGCCACAAAACAAGTATTGAGTGACTGTCAGGTTTCTTGCTACTGTAACACGCTGCATTCGAGATCGCTGGGCATGGCGGAAGAGAAAGCGAGCCAGAGGGACAGCAATAAAACTTACTCGTGGGGTCCAGCACCCAAAAAAATAGCTTTGACGTATAATTATACCTGTAACGTTGAACTCTCGAGAAATTACCGTTGCTTACCAGTGAAAACCGCGTATTCGAGAGCGCTAGGTATGGCGGGAGACAAAAACGAGCCTACGCGTTGGGGTCCAGCAGCGAAAAAAGTAGCTTTGGCGTATTACCCGTTGTTGCTTATGAGTCAAAACTGCGGAAAGCGCTTATCGCCCGCAGCCGTCGCTCTTCGCTAGCCAGCTCTCTCCACATTTTTAGAAGGTGGTGTGCGTTAAGAAGGCACCTTGAAAGCTTTTGCGGAATTTCATTGGTCAAGGCCTTACCGCCGGATTTCATCATACGAACACGTTTAGTGGTCTACTGGTTGCACACTCGTGGCTTCAGTTTTGATAGACCACTCAGGCTGCGCCCCCGTGTCGGCTCGTGTATAATTATACAACAAGTAAACCACGCACCGCCATCGTATAAGTAACATACATGGTTGATAATCTGAAATCGAAATCTTTACCTCTCACAGCTACATTAGCAGTTGTTGATGTGAGGCCAGTGGCATTACATTGGAATACATCTCCATCTCTGCCACTGGATATGACTTCAGTCCTGGCAGTGTAGATGTCATTACTCAGAAACCATGGAGTACCCACTGGCTGTATGTTGGTACTGATGTCAGATTTGTATCCATTAGGTCCAGAGACGGCCATGTTGAGAGCTCTACCACCAGTGGAAGTACACCTCACTCTGAATGTTGATGTTCCTGCCTCCACCTCAATAGCTGCCGTTACCCCAGTGACTGGAGGAGGGGAACAATACTGAACATCTCTCACTTACACCATTGATAGATGGCCACTCACTGGGGTAGAGGACGTACAGTCCTAATACAGGGTTAATGTCATTAATCATATAACAGTTGATATATCCTTCCTCTGGAGTTTCCCACCTTCTCCACAAGTAGTGTACTCGACGATTACCTTCGTCTACTCTCCTTCCACTCCATCCTCGAGTTATATAATGCCTATCACTACCAAACCTTATGTACTCTGGTTCTGGCCAAACACAAGGTACTGGACCATCTCCATCACCAACATGACATGCATAAGTAGCTGCAGGGATTTCAGAGACAGACAGTTCAGACTGACACCTCATAGCTCTGTCGAAATCATCATTTAAATTCACAAACTCAAAGTCGTACACACTTCTCCTTGATATGTTATTGTTTTGAATAGGCTCGCCATTCAGGGAGATGGTCACACCTGCAGTGATTATGAGATTGTTGTAAACAACATAGCTATGGGCATCCTACCCACCAACCATCAAGGTTTTTGCTTGCAAAAATACTGCCCATCCCACTAGAAAATCGTCTTATTTGTGAGATCCTGGGATGCGTATTCCCCATACATTTTTAAAGGGTACGCAGCATTATTTCAAGCACAAATATCCCAAACATCCCAAATCAGCAAATTTCACACATTTCTCAAGCAAAAGTTTATCTGCAGGGTGGTAGGGAGACATGTGTCCTCTATTATTCTAGCTATTAGCTATAGCTAACGGGTTTCGCCGCCATGATTTGCAGATAGCTATCTTACCGTCCACACTTAGTGTGGTCCAAGAACACACACTCAGCAGAGCCACTAGCAAGACTAGAACTTGCATTTCCTGAACTTCAGTGAGAAAATTGCGCAGCAAGTCCGACTTCTGGTGCGCGCAGCTTATAGAGTAAGGTGCCGGGCGCATGGCGCAAGTGTAGTGCGCATGCGCTGTAGCCGTGCCGAGTGGTGTTCTGCAGCGGCCTCTCCGCGAGAAGAGCCATGGGGTGCTGTGTCCAGCGTGAAGAGAGGAGAGACAGTACGCCTCTTGCAGAGTCAGACCCAAACACAGCTGGTAATACAAGAGGGGGCTCGCTAAATGAAACCGTACGTGCGTGGAGAGCTGTTGGCTGAAACCCGTATTATACATAGCTCTATATCTACGAGTGGGCAAATGTGGCTCTTTCGTCTTACTATCACCTAGAACTATCGTTACATCACACTCCCCTGCAACTAGTCCATCTAAGATGCATGTGGAGATGAACTGAATTGACAAGTGTGCCAATGATGGGTGTCATAGCTCGTATAATAAATAGGCGTTCTATAGGCAGAATGCAGTGTTCATTTGCTTGGTCTATGATACCAACAAACGGCATGTGCACTCGACTATCTTAGTATCAGCTACTCTGGTTTGCTATCCATAATGATTGAAAGGGAAAATATAAACGCCCCAATCGAAGCCAGTCATCAGTCAGGCCATGGGTTAGCGGCTGTTTGTCGGTTGCCGGGGCAACTGAGTGCGTCAGTTCCACATCCAGGACTGCAGGCAGTGTGAGATCTTTGTCTGGACAACACCATGTTCCCTCACCATCCATGTCTGCACTGATCTGCACCTTGGTTCTGGGCCATGTGGAGGCAGGTTATATATATACACGGCTAGGACACTGTAAGCCCGAGGTAAACCATAACGAGTGCATCACAGTTTGGCAGGCGTGAATATTCTTGAGAAGTAGT